CGGTTTACAATTTAACATTTACAAGAATCTGTTCTAACTGCTTGTACAATAATTGAGCAATTGAAACTTGTGAAAAAGTATTAATTTATGATACTTCAGGATTGTAATTTATAACATTACTGATCGTGACTATAAAAATGACATACACTCCCAGTAAACTTACCCGTTTATACGAAATATAAATTATCATTATATAACATTGATGACAGGTCAGTGGTGTGCCTGTTAATTTGAGAAAGTGCAGGGTAGTGCAAGTACGCAATCAAGTTGCACAGACAGTAAGTTACAAACTATACGAAGATAACTTGTCCTGTGCAAAGTCAGAGTGTGACTTGAATGCAGGTACAGAGACTGACACATCCATCTAAATAACTGCACACTCCAGAGAGTTGTCTTCAATGCATTGCATTGCCACGGTGCCGAAAAAGCTCAATGGTTCAGAAAACAACCAGGAATTAGAATGGCTTGATTTGTTGACAGGGAAACAGTAATTTGAATTGACTGAGAACAAGCACTCATTGACAAGATAAGCATTACCAGAGGCACGAACAAATTTTCAACAAGCTCCGCATCCTCTAAGATCGTGTTAAACATTCGTGTGGCGGCACAGTAGAGCATACATGATCAACACCCTGCTTTACTTAAAAGAAATGCCGGCCTTTTGGAAAGGGTTCAAAGACAAGGGGTGAAAGGGACGATGGGCCTTCAGAATAAACCGTAAGATTAAAGTTTGAGGAAATTGGGTCCTTCCACACTTAACTACCATAGATCTAGGGGCAACCCGGTTACTGCCTACAAGATTATAGATGACTGGGATCACGCAAACAGAAGTATTCTGCCGTTGGGTCATTATGAGCTTCCTCGCGAAAACCCACGAGAGATTGCGCATCAGAGTGCAAAGACCCTAGTAAGCTCCCATCTCTTTTCACCTCGAGTTTACTGTCCCTGGAAGTCTTTACTAACAGCCGCGGAAACCTTTAAGTGAGGTCTCGATAATCATGCAACAACACAAGGACTGTGTCTGAATGGACTCACCCACACCACTCTATTAACAAGTATCCTCTAAAGTTGCCCCTCACCACTACCTTTTCCACCTTGTCTTACCCTTGATATGATTATGGGCAATAATTTGTGCTCAAAACGTCATCAGTTAATATTACTGTGTAAAACTGTGTGATTTATGAAAATAAAATCTTATCCATAATTGTCCTACTATTCTGACTACTCAGTCTTCTAATTCACTTTGCAGTGCGCGCTCCTTGAACACAACTTGCCTTCTCCTCTCTAACCGGGAAACGTCTATTTTGTGAATTATCCACTTCGGAAACCTGATCTTCCTGGCCGGTGGATTAAACTCCACCATTACTTCCATATCAAATCTCTGTTTGGTCAGTCAAGCTGTCTCGAACTACTGCCAAAGCTTCAGATGCTACATCTGCAGCAGCATCTTGCTCACTCGTTTAGATAAACAAGACTTGTTAGGACACGTGATTGCTGTGAAGCCGATCATCCAGAAAGTACCTTTTCTTTTCCTTGCCTTGTACCCTATCAATCTTTTTTTCTTGTTCTATTGGGTAGATACTATTAATATCTCTTATTCATATATCAGAATAAGTTATAGGAATTGTGGATATAGCGGTTGAACCCAGATTAAAAAGCACTAAAACACCACATTATGTAGTCACAAGGGCTTCAGCAGGAGGAGGCAATAACCCAGGGATATTAACCCCATTCATCATATCGATTCTAAAGACCCGTGTACATCTTGCCTGCTCTGATACTACGCTTACATTGCCACAGTCTAATAGTGAAACGACACGGGCAAAACCAGGTGGACATAATACTACACCTGTATCCACTGGAAGCCGTGCGTGACACGCAGCATAACATAAAAGAAACGCTCAAGACGTCATAAGACCTCGGAGGCGTCATCTAGAAAAGGAGACGAATGTCGGGCCTGTGGTGTTGTCGTTTCGCAAACTGATTCAGTACTTGAATGAAATTTTTGCAAACGGTGTGTACACTGCTGTTGTGACAAAGGAGTACGAAATCCATACTGAGTTTATTTGAAATAACCCATGCTCATGGTTCTGGTATGTAAGCCCACTATGTCACCCTGGCACAGTCTCACGCAGCGTAGCTCCGGATAGCAGTAACACCACGCCACTTTTGTGTCTCGACACAGTCTCATTCGGCTCTAATCCTGATAACACCACACCACCAAAACTTGGCAAAACTGTGAGAAGGATACTCCAGCCCAGCCGACTGGAAATATCAATCTTCATAAACTGAGGACTCCCAAAGTTACACCTAGAAGACGGAATTGTCAAAGCACCACGTGTATCCGCTAGCAAGCATGGCGACATGGCAAATATTAGTCAGAACCTGATGAAATCTGAAGTGACTGATCCTACAAATGAGGAAAAGCAGCCAAAAACCAAACCGAAGTCTGAGGTCAGTCGGTTGAATTCCTTTATCCTGTTTAATGTACCCGTGTGCAATGATACTTTTCTTGAACAAAGAGCCCTGTTTGACCAGCAACGGTGGTCGAAAAAAACTTGTGCAACAAATTAGGTCTGAACGTCGATTCAGCGAAATTGTGTAGGCTGTACAGGGGTGTCCAGGCACCTCAGAGTAAGCCACCTCCATTAAGGGGTGACACTGGGCTCTGCCGAAGTGGCTGAAAGAATACTGTTACTAGCCTAAGTATTAGCTCTTGACAGAAGTTCCAGTATAAGAGTCAGACATGATAGGCCATGAGCTTACAGGCAAATGGCAAGGGAGTCACCGGAACTGATGCCTTCTACCTATATGGTCATACACGGTGTTCCGGAGCTAGACACTAGCACTGCTTGTGAAAAACACATGCATGACGTACAAAGATGGAGACAGCTGCCATTTCAGATGGCCCTGGGTGCTTCTGGAGCAATCTCGATTTTCTGGCCACCTCGCCCCGCTCATCTCCCACCGATTGGCTCCCCAAGACTGCTAAGTGCAAAATTCAACTCGCAGGAACAGTTGGCCAAAGTACTTCAACGGTGACACAAGGCCAAGTGTGAAACGGTGCACTGAAGCTCATTGTGTGCACTTATGCGACTTGTTCCAACACTCCACGGAATCGGGGAAACTGCCAAAGGAATGGAAAAGAAGCATCCTTTCTCCGATCTTCAAGGGTGGGGGTAGGCAAAATCCCACCAGTTATAGACCAGTAGCTCTACTCCCGGTGTTACCAAAAGTACTGGAAGGTATTATTGATGAACGTATCAGAGAGCCCCTTGATAGGACTAATAGACTCCATAAAGCCCAACACGAGTTCAGGAAAGGCAAAGCCTGTGTAACAAACCTACTATCAGCTTGGGACGATTGGACGTCATGCTGGGATATGAATGTTTCAGTCCATGTGGTCCTCCTAAACTTTGATAAGGCACTTGGCACAGTTTACCATGACCTTCTCCTACATAAAATAAGTCGGGCAGATATGGGTGAACCGCTTCTGTCATGATTGGAGGACTACCTAGCTGAAAGGAAATTCTGAGCTGAGGTCAATAGAGTCCGGTCATTTTGGCACAGCTTGTCATCAGGAGTGTTGCAGGGTTCTCTCCTAGGTCCGTTGATGTTTATGATTTTCATCAATGACCTAGTACGCCGTCTAGGCTACCCGACTCTTCTATACGCTGATGACGTGAAGATATAGAGGGCAATACAGTGTTCAGAAGACATGGATAGGCTGCAGGCAGATCTAAAGCTTCTGGAAGACTGGGAGGTGGCCAATGGTATGACTTCCAGCCTGAAAAAGTGCAAAGTAGTGAGGTTACGCACCTGTAGACTGCAGAATGCAAGTTACACCCTCTGCAATGAAAGCTTGTCCTGCTCAACGTCGGAACGTGACTTAGGTCTAGTTCTAACGGAGAAAATGGACACAAGCGTAGATTACACGGGGGATGTAGCGAGGGCATATGTGGTCATACACTTTACACATAGACAATTAGGTGCACTCACTCCTGAGCTCTTTCTAAGGTTGTACAAAACACTCGTCAGAGCACACCTTGAAGTGCATAATATCATTGCACCCCTACTGCTTACAAGAAACGCAAACCTCTTGGAAAGTGCAAAGACAGGTGGCAAAAGGGGTGGTGGGTCTGAGAAATAAACCATATGATGAAAGGCTGAAGAAATCAGGCCTATTCACACTTAGCTACGATCGGCTTAGGGGGATCTGATTACTGACCACAAGATAACAAATGACCAGAATCACCCAAATAAACGTGTTCTGCTATTGAGTAGGCATGGGCATCCTCGTGGAAATCCTAGAAGGATAGCTTACCAGAGGACAAAGACTCGAATGCGCTCCCACTTCTTTTCACTGCAGGTTTGCCGTTCCTGGAACTCCTTATCGGCAGATGTAGCTATGGCACCACCTGTGGAAAGCTTTAAACGAAGGCTGGACAAACATGCAGTGACACAATTACTGCGTCCAAATGACCTATCCCCTAAAATCGCACACACCATTCAAAGGTAGACAATTAAACCGGTCGTTTTACTTCTTCACATTCTCTTCAGTCTTACTCTCCTGACAGCTTTAACTACACCTATTATTATTATCATTATTACCAGTATATATATACCGGTTGACTGACTGTTGTTACGTTTTCTTATTCTTTTTCTATCTGTTAGTCTGAATACCTTCACTAATTATATCTTTTATTATTATCTCTTTTCTATTGACGACGAATCCGAAGGACCAACTGGTGAAAGGATCAACTCCTTTCACAGTAGTAACAGTCTTAACACACCTCATACTACAAACCACATATAATTAATCCCTGCACTACTCCTTTTGGCGTCAACCAAAGCTACGGCAGTCGAGTGGCGGGACGAGCTACGCATAGGTTCACCGAAGATCTGTAACCTCTACGTCACAATCAAGAGGCGAGCACAAAGAAATCAAATTGGTTTATACTAGCTCGTAAAAACGATATTGGATATTGTACATTGGCTAACTGAATGGTCAGTGTTTCAAAATAATTATCCGTTAACATGAACCGTATGAATTATTATTCATATAGACGTTATCCAACTCGGAATATCGATAGCAAACACGTTCCATTGAGTTTAAATGGACTCAAGAGAGTTGGAGATAATCCATGTCCACGTTTAGCCATTGGCTCAGAATACATGAGTCAAGACCTCTATTTTCTGTACAAAAACTCAAACGATTATCATATGAAGGAAGAAGTGAGAAAAGGAATAATTAAGACGTGTAAGGATACTAACAAACGGTTTCATTGCAAACGGTAAGCTGATAAGATGTTTGTAATGACCTACAGTTCCCTAAAGGAAAAGTCTGAATTAAAAGGAGTTTCTACTCCCTCAGCTGAAGACGAGGATAAAAAACATCAAAGAAGCCTAAAGAAGCGTAATTCAAATAGGAATCCACCAGAAAAAAGAGATATGAAGACAAATATCCGCAAAAGACCGTTAAAAGATATAGCTTATTTTTCTGTCTAGCATTATCTACGATTAATAACAATATAGCTCAACGTTTGGGTAGTGAACGTGGCCTTTGAACGAATTGTTTCAACACTCCTTGTGAGACCTTTTCTCGGTGTATATGAATACGGTCTCTCGAACCGGCACTCGTTATACGGAGGCATTTCATATACATTGACTGACATTGTGGCTTAATTTAACAAAACTCCTCGGCTTCAGGGTGCACTATGTATTGAGTAGCTGTTTTAGAACAGGTTTCAGGTATCGTATTTCAGACCGTCACCATATTCTATGAACAAATAATGTCAGCTTCATTGGATGGAGTATAGGAAACAGAACTCCATATTTGCCGCAGGGCTCTCTCGGCTTCATGCTGATAGAACTTACTTCGGGTTGCTCCTCACAACGTGACTTCTATTAGGATAATACTATGAGCAGTGTTGTCCATTATGAACTGCTGTTGTTTTTTATGCACTTGAATTTAGCTTTCGTGTTTAATTTTGGGAATTGAACAGAATAACGAAGAAACTCGCAAAGTTTCCTTGCTATCAGTGGGTCTTTCCAGATCTTCAGATGACTAGGTACGTACGTTTGTCCATGAATTAAGGTAAACACCTCTTCGGTGAACAAACCTCCGTTTTCTTTGTGGGTGACAGAATAATTAGGTCCACTAACATAGTGGTTAGTAATACCTACTAATATATGCACTGGTACGTCAGACAGGCAAATCTTTATCCTCACTGTACTGGACCCTCTTGGTGGCTATGCGTAGAAGTTTGACTGCCTGCGTTTCTCCAGTGTACTCACGGTCCAATGTGTATTTTTGATTTTATTTAAGATCGATTGGCAGGAGAAGGAATATTCGGATTAATAATTAATCATTCCTACCCGATAGTTTATAGAATTGTAGCGGTAAATAATTCCCCAAAATTATTGACCACAGCAATCATCACTCAACATTGGATGCTGACTCTCACTGTTTAAGTCGACTTGTTTAGCTAAAGGCTTCCGGTCAAGCATCCCCGCCATTTGGTACTCCGTCGTGTCACGTGCGTGCACGACTACTAGCCAGCTAAGCATTCACTTCAACCCGCGATTTGGTCCCGAAATATATTACGTACTTTGGACGACTAAATCTGGTCTTTTGCTTTATCTTTGGTACTCGAAGAGCGAACACTATAGAAGTTGTCGGTATAAGATCTTGCGTTAGTATACTCCGTACAGTTCACGAACGTCGATAACTTCAACCTCTAAAGAATGTTCTAAATATACCCCTCTGTAGGAGAGTCTCGGAGAGCTTTAATCTTTTTAATCATCTTGTCTCCACTGTAACTTCGAAGTCGTGGCTGATTTGGGTCAAGTTATTAGCTGTGCTAGAATTTTCTATGCATATTTTACGAATTGGTCGCACACTCATGGTCTAGTGGGCTATAACTTCAACTCGTTGGGATATTTAACCTTGCAAATTGCTATGCGTAGCTGGCAGGATGCTTCGACTAACCAGAGGTCCAAATCCATTCGCTCGGGTGGCGATTTGCAGGAGGTTTATTAGAGGGCACTGTTGGTCGTTACGCACCTTGAAATAAAGAAGAATCGAAGAGACTGTTCGAATTAGGTCTGTTTTTTCAAGGCTCAGCAGACACCGCATGGTGCCTCTCCGCCACATTGTTGAGTTTCCATTTTTCTGTCGTCTGTAATCGAGTGAATTTAATTTCGCAGCATACCTGTATTTTAATCTCGTCATCTGTATCCTGTTACTTAGAGATTGTTTGTGTAGAGTTGAATCCGTAATTAGGACACCTGACGATTAATGATAGAAATAGGTAGCGAAAGACGAATTGCGTATTTTGTTTACGAATGTTTCCTGTATAAGAAGTCTCAGATAGACTGTTGGTTGGCCTTTCACTGTCAACCAAAGGTGCGGTCTCATCTGAGGATCTTCAGTTTATTGTTGTCAAATTATACGATAACGGCTACCACCTAGTCTAATTCTATCGGGTCGACTTTTCTGATATGGAATGAGTTCAAGAGAGAATCGCTCCAATTAAAACAGCTCATTAGGTGGTTTGAAGTTTCTGCACTCACCCCACATCAAACTTCTCGTCAGTAGGTCTTGACACGATGAAGTTTTATTGTTGAAGATTGCAGAAAGATCTGAGGTGATTTCAGATGTACGACTGTCACAGATACTGCATCATCTCATCCGCGTGATGATAACGTCACCGTATAGTCGATTCTGAGGGCAAATGAACAAGATGTGACAAGAAATATATTCCACTTGGTGAGATTATGAATCTTCAGTAAATTTTGTTGTTGAGAAATATTTCTTGCATATGTTCAGGTGAAAAGGTGAAAGTGATGGCAATAGTTTACGAAATATTTGTGTACTAATTTCAGTCAAGCTTGAGTGTGTGACGTAGCTGCTAATGACTCAAAAGACAATCGAACTTCACGGTTCGAAGTTTCAAGGCATGGATTGAAGTAAGGGTGTAGAGAACCAGCTATGGTATGGCTTTTCTCTGGACAACTCTAATGTATATATAGATATCTCACTTCCTCACGGCTTTTGAGCCTATCAGTTTCACCTGTATACTTTTCTTGTGCTCACATTTACTACAAACCACCATTGTACAGAGTAAAATCTTCGAATTATAAATTTCGCATGCAAGCTTTATCATATATAGTAAATAATTTACCCTGATCTTGCTGGAATAACGTTAAATATCGATAAACTCTTCTGTTGATACTCCTGCGAGATGATATAACCACAAATTCACTAAATGGATCGGCAAATGTCAGCACATAGACTGCACTGAAAACACATTTCCCCACTAATTCCCATCAAAATCGTGACCCGTCAGCTACCGGTTGCTAATCGGTAGTTTTCTACGTTTTCTCAACTACTTTTACGTGGATTACCCTTTTTACAAAATCGCTAAGTAAAATATAGCCATTTAACCTACTAATTGCACTATATTCCCTTATTATTCATCTATTTTTATCACCACTATTCAACCACCCTTCCCTCACTTATGTCTTTAGCCATCACTTTCTGCTTTTACTGATTCTATCAAATAGAAAGAATGGGTTTAAGTAAGGCGTCAAGCAGACAAATATTTCAACATGACATCATTTTGTAGTTCCTTTACGAGTGTGTTTTTTAGTGGTTATTGGGCCACATAGGAAATCCAAATGTACTTAATCTAAATAGAAGTCCAGTATCATGCATTTCAAAGCATTTACTGATGCCTAGTCACAAAATCAGTGTTAACGACTGCTTCTCAGTTACTTTGCATAACTTTAATTCAAGGTTATTAAAGTCAATGAAAGTACTTTGGATTAATCATATGCATCCTAAATCATGTATGCAGAAAACACTAGCCTTCAACCTTTATTTTCTATGGACTACTTGACCTACTAAAATATAATAGTCTTTTACTACACACTTTTATCTCATATAACTGAGGAGTTTTCAAACATTTTATTTCATTATTGAGAACTATGCTAGTTGATGAATAGTTCCCATCCAGACATTAATGAAAGCAAAACACATATTTCAGCGAGGAGTCTTTATTCGGCGAATTCATTCACTTAGCTGTTCAATCACAACTATATATAATTATTTTTGTACATATATTTGTGCATTAGGTTTGTCAGAAGAGAATAAAATCTAGTCAGGGTTATTGTTTACGTCATCAAAATATTTCAAAAAGTGTGATGAATAATCAAATTATGACTAGGTGGGGGACCATTATTGAAGCCGCAGTGGTGATGACTTGTCAGAAAACATAGTTGTTAGTGTTAGCCAGTGAATGAGAGAAGTTGAATAAGTGTATTGTAGTTGAGTAATAAGATGAATAATGTCATGAGTAAGTTTCGATTAGGATGAACATAGAAACGAAGGAAAATATGAAATAATATGAGAGTTGTAATGAAATACAAGAGTATCAATGAGCTAGAAAAGAAGTCAAACAAACATCAAGCCAGTAGAAATCAGCACGGTTGTTGCCATGATAGTAGAAGTGGCTGAATGATGTTTTGGATGCGTAACTCTGGTTTTCACAACTGAATGACTAAGGCTTCAGCGATACAAAGGAAACGAAAGCGTATTACCTTCAGTAGGTTATTCTTCACTTTGTAGATTACTTTGAAGGAGATGTTTGTTGAGATGGGATGGCCAGTGTTGACAAGGTGTTCGATTGTCGCATTCCTTATAGAGCCACTACTATCTTTCTGCAGCCATGTGGGATAGTGTTCTTGAACCCCTTAGGACGGGATACACGTTGAACGACCAGTGTGCCTGGCTCCACAGCTACAGGTGAACTGATATATTCACAGATGCACTATGCTAGTTGTAAATTCATCGTAAAGAAACTACGAAATGATACCATCTCGCAATATTTGTCTTCTTAATGCCTTATTTAAATGTTACAAATGGACTACCTGTCTTGATATTTTTAGGTGAAAGACTAAGTGGCAAAAACAGCTGGACCTGTTCCATCGAAGCTACAACCCCTTTGCCAGTTGCGAGTTCACCTCAAACTTAAGATATATACTTTACGCGTAGTTACAGAAATCGACTAACTTCAAAGAACCAAACCTTGTTCTTAGGAAATGATCTGCCCTAACTCATCTTAAAGTGGGTGGACGGATCCATTCTGCATTTAGGCTTCAAAGTTTTATCAGCATCCTAGATAATTTGTCATGTAGTTCAAGCTTATGGAGTCCTTTGCATTATGTAAAGACGAAGTCAAACGGTTATGATTAATCGCTGAATTGTGAAGAAATAAACAAATACTGTGAATTAATATATTAATTATACATGAACCCAGTATGACTTGCAAGCATTCTACTTCTCAACCACTAGTGATGCATAGATGCAGTGGCAAACAAATTCTAATAACACAAGAGAATTCCATGCTACCCAGAAATTATCCCAGTAATTGTTGTCAGGTAAACGGCACTCCACACCGCGGGAGGAAGCCAAATTTTTGGCCACCTTTTGGCCATGGTTCGCATTTTGACTGCATAGAGAATACCTATCTACCACGACGAGCATATTCAATCAGTG